CGTACTACTTTAGTTATATCGTTTCTTCACTCACGGCGTCTCGAGAACGAATTAACTAAATAAGCGTAAAATAAAACCTAATTGTGATATGACATATTATGTAGAGGACTGAACAAAGCATGAAAATCAATTACTGAGACAATTTATGAGACATTCAAAATGTTTTTTTTTTTGTTGAGAAAGTGGCAAGTAATCCGGCGGTTCACCTGATGTTTAGTGACAACCGCCGCCCATGGACATTTGCAACACCCGTAGGTTGGTAGATGCGTTGCCTCTTTTTAACAAAGTGGGCCCCGGCTACCTCTCAGCCGAGTGAGAGGTAGCCGGGGCTTACTGCCGCTCTCTGCCTACTCGCTACTCTGCCGAGGACGAATACTAGAAGTATAACACTTCCACTTCACGCTGATCTTCTGCGAGGTTGTGGTACTTGACAGACCTGCTTATTCGTGCATTAGCCGAAGCTGTGGTCCCGCCGCAGGCCCTACCACAGCTACATTCACATTAATATGAAAAAGGCATAATACACGCTTATGAGAAAATTGGATTATAAAAAAATATTAATAATTACTACATAACCAGAAGCACCATTAACTTTTTTTTACAATAATTAATCTGCAAAGACGCTGGATGCAACTTTTATTTTCTTGCGGGGCAGTGTTAAGTAAATAAATAAAAATACATTACATATACAAAACGTTACCAAACGATCTAATAAAGTTTTGTGTCAAGGGCTGCTCCTAAATGTTAAGCAACTGTTGCTTGAGAACAAAAAAAAATCGTTTTACTAAAACAAAATCATTGCTTGAATTTTCAGTCAAGGGCATATTGGGAATATCTTTCAGGGAATAGCATTTTATAAACATATTTTTTGACCTACCACGTATTCTTAAATTTTAAATTATGTTTGAGCTTAAATGCAATAAACTTGCACAATAAATAAAAATAAACAACCCGTAATTCCATACTTACAGCCATTATCGAAGCGTTGCATAAACAATTTATCATATGCATAAGTACTAATTAGTGCTTTACATAAACTTCAACATAAAACATAAAGCTATTGATTTTTTATTGGTATTAAATATTTATCATTTACATAATTTTTAATTAGTGTTCTACATAAACTTCAACATAAAACATAAAGCTATTGATTTTTTATTAGTTTATACTCAAAAATCAATAGCTATTAATATAATAGTTATTAATTCTAGCCATATAGTGTTGTCGGCTAATTACTAATCAACTCCGGCCCATGTCACAGTATTCCAACAGAGCGATGTAGATAACAAAGAATATTTATGATACGCAGTGCCCTTTGACTTTGGCTCATCGAGCTTATCGTGTTTCCTGATGCTGACACTCCGTTCCCCGTATACGATACAGCCTTACAAATATTTATATTCTATGCCGACTTATCAGAACGAAATAAACATAGGTTTAACGTTTCACTTGCATAGCAACTGGAGTGTTCGCAGACTCATCGGCTAATAAAATGTTATTGTGTTTTTTTATGTGAGAAGGTTGGATACGAGCTGGCGGTTCACCTGATGTTAAGTGATAACCGCCGCCCATGGACATTTTCAACACCCTTAGGATTGCAGATGCGTTGCCATTTTTTAATAAAGTGGGCCCCGGTTACCTCACTCACCGGACGGAACGCAGAAGTATTATTCTTCCACTTCGAGCTGGTTCTCTGTGAGGTCGTGGTACTACCCCGGACGGACCTGCCCATTCGTGCAAGAGTGAAGAAATTTCCCTAGATATACCACTGTAAGAGTAAGCTTATAGGTCGACTACAACATCACAACTTAGCGCTAAAAACATGTGCTTTCAGACGATACGCAGTAATTGTAATATACACTCCATTAAACTTTAGGTACTGTCTGACACCACTACCATAAAAGCAATGACAAGTTAAAAACGTATTCGTATTAAACGACATTAATAGCATAATTAGATTAACAAGACGGATCAAAGTCTATTCATGTGATACATTTGATGGATACAAGCATGGATTTCATTGCAAGCAACGATTACACTGTCAAAGTTCAGGGTTGCTCTCCGTCACTATTAACATATATAGGCTTATCGTGTCAAATGTCTTCTGCGTAGGCGAATTTGATAGTGTATAGTGTATAAGCATAAGGCTATAAGCAATATAGTAGCATGATATGTATAAGAGAAGCGTATGTATATTTCTTATTGTGTCTGACATTTGTGCAAGGTTCATTAACTCAGATATTGACTAAAATATTACTAAATTACCACAACTATTCTTATTTTACATTACATTGCTGTAATAAACCTTTCTTTTGGCATTTTAATAAAAAATAGTTTCTACCATATTAGCATTGTCTATTGACATTTTACTTGCGCATCTTTAATATCGCAATCGATGAACTCAAAATCAGTTGTATGCTCAATATCAAATAAATTGAATTTAGTATTGAATAATACTCTTTTTGCAATGGATTTGATTTCCGAAATGACAATTTATCATTAATATTTCCACTATATTCATGACACAGTTGCCAAATGACATGCTTAGACGACCTTTAGTTGATACCTTGCCTACAGTTTATTTTATTTTTAATTACATGCACAGGGCAGTTTTACTATAAATTGATATTAAATAAATCAAAATAGAATTCCGAAAGAGACAAAAAATTTAAATATCAAGTGATATAAATCTATATCAATTTTATTAAAATTTATATATATATTAGTTTTGAAATATAATTAATTATATTTCAAAATTGTTCTATTAAAATAATTATGTAGAAAAAGTACGAAAAGACACGTCCTCGGCATTCGCAGCCTGACGCTTTAACCACTAAGCTAAATGGCCGATTGCCATACCGACGAAAATCTTAACGTCTTTTATCTACATTGTTTTTTAGCATTTGAAGTAATGCTTGGCGCATTCATTGTTATATCCTTTCCAGCATACAAACAATTTCGAATATCGCTTTGCAACGATAATTCGAACGAGAGATGTCGCCATTGCTTTTTAGAAATTTAAATTGTTTATAGTGCTAATATGTATGTATTTTTGTATTTATGTATATGATACAAGTTTTATAACATTTCTAAATTATAAAATTAATACCAGACATCAGGAGCAATGCCTTAAGTGTTTTCAATCTGAATTTTAAATAGTGTTAATCAAAATTAAGCAAGCGCTGTACAATAAATTAAGCTTTCGTAGGGTCTGGACCTTTCTTATCTGTAGAAAACGTTTCGCCATCACCTTAGTAACGCGTCGCTTGTTTCGGCAACGTCATGGAAACCTTATGTCAACACTTAGGGTGTGCTTTGGGATCCCATTAATATTATCAACTTGAAGGTTTTTTATAGTGTCAGACAACGTAATGTACGTCACTAATATAAAAAGCAAAGGAGTGCTTACCTTATAATAATTTATAACTTAAGCTCACCATTTGAGTGCTTAAATAATGTTCAAACAATAAATACAACCCAGGTTTTTTTGTTATCCTAATCCCAATTCCAAGGGTTCCCAATATCCTGTGTTGTTAGGACGTTTTGCAAATATAAATTTCACGTGGGCAAACAACCAGATCGGAACAATTATATATGCATCACACAAATAGTTGTCCTGCGTGGTAATCGAACCCAAGACCCTCGGTTCCGAAGCCAATACCTTGGCAACTGCGCCACGGTCAATAGGACATAGTTGGTTGCATTCGATTTGTTATAACCGAACTATGTGTAAGTTTGTATAAGAAACAAGTATATCAATCAATTTAAGTTTAGTTATAATGACTAAAAGTTAAATGAAAACATCTTATTACATTGTAAACCTTCAAAACACATAATATATCCGTTTGTATTAGTTTTAAATGGCCCGCATGTATCTATAAACAACGTTAGCGCATATCTTCGGGACAGTTCAACTGTTAGAGCAAATAGGGTATCATTGTTCACCGCTTATCGGTCAGCGATAGGAGATGAGCAAGACGCGCCCGCTGCCAAAAGGCCTTTGAATTAATGGCTAATGCAGTTATAATGCATATCGACAACTGGTTCCTAACTAGTGGTAGAGCGTCCGTTCTTATTTTCCCTCGTCAGGAGAAAATCGCCACCTTGGCTCTAGATTGCACCACACGCCCAGTAATTATATGTAAGATTCAAATGACAGTTTCGAAAGTAAGCCGACGCAACCGGACGATATTATAGCCGTTTTCAACGTTATAACGGCTATAGCGGCATTTAATCTGTATTTTTTTATTACTAGAATAGAACGGCACTGTTTTCATCAATTAATACTTTCAAAGTAAGCAGACGCTATAAATAATATGAAAGAAAAAATCCTAATTAAAAGGTGGTGACACCCACCTTCAAATGGTCGATATCGATTAGCACTACTAAAATCCAAACTATTTTAATATGCAATAGTTATAAGTATTATCTGCTTGTCTATTACAATCTATATTTTCAGTGATTTTATTAACCATCCTATGCTCCTTCACAATATAAAAAAGGCGCCCTCTATTGGTCAAAAACTACTAAACCGCAATTTTCACCCAGTAGGCTTCGAATACGGTGTAGTAAAATAAACGATTACCAGTATGGATCGAACCCATGACATGGATCGTAGATTGCTAGACACTTGAATCATTGTAGATAATTACATCTACAATGATTCTCTATTATGCATATTCATATGGCTAATCTGGGGAAAGAGGTCTAGGCCGTAGTCACTCGCGCATGGTCCAATTTGTGCGTTGCCGAATCTAAGCTGTCGTTACGGCCGCTTACGCCGGAGTTACGCAAAATTAACACAGCAAGCCATATCGAGGTATGTATTTTTTAAGAGAAAAGAGGTTATATCTGTGTGAGTATTCGAAACCTTACGTATACAAATCAATAATTTACGCTGTTTGTATAGCATTAACCCTAAGTAAGTTCACATGGAAAAAAATAAAAATATTTTTTTTACTGTAATCCAAACTCGTCTACGAAGTGTATTTATTACTCACCAGTGCAAGCGCGCTCTCCGGGTACCACTTGCAAGGGCGTAGGAAAATGGTAAGGAGCTCATCGTCGTCTCCGAAGTAGAGGTCTTTAGTTTCCTTAAGGAGCTCCCTTAGTCGCTCCAGGGCTTCCCGGACCCTCTCGGGGGTCTCCCGGAGCTCCGTCTCGGCTACTGCCCTGGTCTCCGGCGACAAGTCGACGTTGCGCTCGAGCCTGAATTCGCTGCTGCTCATCTTGACTTCAGTCTACTCCGCCGTCTGCGAAACAAAACACCCCAATAAACAGACTCTCCACAAACATGTTCTCATTATGCACAACACGCCGACAAACACACCGTAACTGCCTATTCAACGTTACTTCCTAAGTGCTCGTAATAGGACGACGTAGATACGTACTCCAGGACAGGTCCTACTCACGGCCCGGTGCAAGGACGAATTATGTATTCCTCGCACGTTCTCTGTTGAAAGAGTTTATATATGTCCGACTAATGCTTGGCACATTCATGTGGATAATTGTAATTTCACGATACTGTATGTTTGTTTACTCAAAATTTATTAATAAACGAAACTAACACAAGAATTTTGGGAACAGTAAACTTCATGATATAACCAAAATAGTTACAAACCACCTCAGTAGAAACTGAGAAACTTCCTTAAAACTTATTACGCTGAACTACTAAAACTATTATTATTACGCTGGACTATGTTTTGTCATATTTAGTCCATTTTTTACTTAATTAGCTCATCCCACCGACTTTGTCTGCTTTGCTTATTATAGTAACAACAACACTGCTTGCCACTTCTCACGAAAAGACACATCACTGAACCATGCAGTGGTTATAAAAATCGATGAATCTTAAAAATTTTATAACTCCTACATTAAATTAAGCGTATTCTTTAAAGTCGTCTTTGTGTAATTTTTTAAAAGGGCCAAATATCTACGAAATAAATTTTAGAACAATTAATTGAAGTCTATCCATACTTTTTCCATGATACGCGCAAAACCTCTACGATTTTATTTATTTAGATATACCTGGAAAGAAACAAAAAGCTGTCTATTCTATTAAGTTGTTACAATTCGAAATACGTGAAGAGTTTTCACGGTTACAGATTACCTACACGTTTGTTAAAAATAATAATAGTCTAACGACTCATTTAGACATAATTCCCCAATAACCGCTACCGTTTTCGCAACTTATATTTATTGTAAATAGTAAATTCATAACAGGATCCGTCCTGTTCTGAATGTTCGGAACTTCCACTCTACCGACTCTACCGACTGTCGGACTTTTGTAATAAAAGGATTTACTTGAACATAAACAATTAAAAGTTTTGTAAATATGTTTCATTGGAAAACTCTTAAATAGTAAAAGCATTGTTTAGAATAAAACAATGATTTGGAAAAATAACTTCTTAACTTAAATATAGTTTTGAAACGTACGTTTCATAAAATTTATTTTAATTATTCATCTATATGTACACAATTTGTTCCTTAATGGCACGCTTTGCTTTTTGCTCTTCGAACTGCCTGGTAGAAAAAGCTATTTAATATAACTGTACTCTTTGGACAATTTATGTGAACAAATTAATAAATTAATGTAATTATCAATGTATATAGGATAGGAGTCTATTTATTCCATAATCAATCCAATAACATGAAAAAATAGAACTAAGTTTAACTCCACGACTAATGGTTCAGTCAACCCTACACGAGTATAGAGATTATATTACATTTGTACCAAATAAACTGCTGACCCTTTCATACACGTTTGTTAGCAACTTGACAATAAGTTTATCGTTTGTAACTGACTATAAATTTTCTTTTCGTTATCGCCATTTTAATGCTAATTCTCTTTGATTGTAAAGTTTTCCTTTTCTGATAATAATCTTGTTACCATTTGAAAACAAGTTACATACTTAGAAGTCTTATAGAATCATAGATACATTTAGTAAAAAAATATTAAGTAATTATACTTTAAATTTTAATAAACCTACGTACTTAAATTCTAACATTACCTATGTACAGTTTACATATTCTACACTTAACAACAGCACACATTCATTGTAAACCATTGACAGACGGCAAAACGCAATCATTAACATTGAGAAACAATATTCACAAAGCAAACAATACGTAGTGACTATTTAAATAAATAGCTAAACAATGAAAACGATTCTTCGACAATGTGTAAAACACAGATAATACGCACATAGAGCACTAATTTGGAGCCGACGCAAAACTGGTCAGGCCACGCTCCAATTTTCCCGGGAAACAAAAGTAGAGTGAAAAATCAAACTAACCTCGTTCGCGGAAACTCGCGCGCCGATGGAAACGACAAAGGGCGGGAAATCGATAATACAGCGATGAGGCGTTAAAACGAGTGTGCGCGCGCGCAAAGTCGGCGCGGTTTTATACGCGCGATAACAACCATTGCCTGCCCCGAGAGTGGCCGCCTGCCCCGGAGTAAGAGGGGCGGAAATTCAGATAGCGCGGGTAAATAGTACTTTGCTCCGAAAAGTGGACTTTCGACTTCGTTATTCTGATACAATAGGGCTCTTCGCTTCGCAATTCGTAATTAATGTAGCTAATTGTTATGTATATTTAATTTTGATTTTTACTAAACTGTTTTATAACGATAATAACTAACATTGAAACCAAATATTAGATAAGTTTAAGATTTTTGAAATAACCAATGAACAATTAATGTCTTTCCTATGGCACCCAAAAACAAATAACATTATTATTACGTACATAATCCATACTAATATTATAAATGCGAAAGTAACTCTGTCTCTCTGTCTCGCTTTCACGCCAAAACTACTGAACTGATTTAAATGAAATTTGGTACACAGGTAATCTAGAGCCTGAGAAAGGACATAGGCTATTCTTTAATTGGATTTTTTTTAAAGAAAGATATTTATTTAAGGGCTTCAACGCTAGCGAAGCCACGGGCGAAAAGATAGTAGTATATAAATTATATAGACAAACCAAGCCCACTTTATTAAAAGGTGGCAACGAAACTGCAATCCTACGGGTGTTGCATATGTCAATAGGTGGCGGTTATCACTTAACATCAGGTGAACCGCCAGCTCGCTTGCCACTTTCTCACATAAAAAAGGTAAGCAACGATTTATTAATTTCTTCAATTAATAAAAAAAACTTAAGATTATAAATATTATCCTCAAAATCCTTAATAATTTACTTTTCTTTATCGTTACTTGAGTCTATTTTTATTATTTTTTTGCTATTATGGAAAATATTGAATGTCATTGTTAAACCTAAAAAAATATAGTGTTTTAGTCATTGTTTTATTACAGATGGATGACACATAAAATTTTGTCTTGGCGAATGCGCTTTTGTGTTATTGGACGTGACATAAATTAAAAACGTAAACTTTGCCCTTGCTAAGGATGTTACAAATCGGCTGCATGCTTGCAGCGTATAAATATGTACCTGCTGGAAATTTATTAACAATGGTGCAAAAAAAAAATATGTGCACTTATGTATGCACGTAAGAAGTTATGGTAAATGTAAATAACTTTAACTCCGGCGTAATTCAATTAAAATAAATTTTAAACGATAGAGATAAATCTCTAATGAATTAATCAACAAGCAGAATTCGGCGGTCGCTTATAGTTTTCGAGAAAAATATTTAAAACTTGTTTTTTGTACTAAGAAATCCACAATTTTATTTGTTTAACTTCAAAAACTCGATACACAGTTCTGCCAACATGATAAATATAGGAAGCGGGCGACATCATACACGTATCGATATTCCGATTTTTAATCTAATGAGTCACAGAACCGACACAGAGCGAATCCGACACGGATAGATTAGGTTAGAAGGTTCACCTTAACCTTCGATGTTAGGTTTTTTTTTTTATGACCACCAAGAAATACGAGCAGAATTGCATAGAGCATATTGACAACAAAAAAAATGGCGGATATAGTAAAAATAACGATATTTCATTATTTTTTCGAAAACTATAAGCGACCGCCGAATTCTGCTTGTTGATAAATTCATAAGTGATTTTTCTCTATCGTTTAAAATTTATTTGATTTGAATTACGCCGGAGTTAAAGTTATTTACATTTACCGAAGTTATACCTCTTTAGCGTAACAAAGAAAATAACCTAAAATTATATTGCCTGTTTACATATTTTCAAATATTTATCCCCTGTGCCATTACTCCTTGTTTGTGAAAAAGACAATGGCGCTTGGTAAACCGTCTGGTAATACCGTGAATTTGGTCGCTTTTTAGCTCTCGGTCTGCGCGCGCATCGTTACAATTTTACTCCCTTTTTTTCCAAACGCGCAAAAGAAGTACAGCTTCAAAATTTATTTGTAAATTTTTATTGCATTATATTACATAGGTGGTAAAGGCTGTAATTCCATAAGACCCTATTACACCTTTTCTTGCTCTCATGATCCAAGATATAACAATAAATATCAATCTTTCTCATCCATATTAAGATCGACTTTATAAAATAAAATCCTTAATAATTTACATATTGTATATATTAATTTACATTTATATATAATATATACATATTGGTGACGTCGTACTTTTTTGTTCGGTGATTTACAATGTCTACGTTTTGAAGGAACAAGAACGATAAGTTAAAACGTGTATGGGTAATGGTCACAGGCCTAGCATAAGATGGTATATATAATATCTAAACAGAAATATTTGGAATAGACGAAATATGCATTTCGTCAAGATCACTTCATTTATCTAATTGATGGTCAAGTTTAGAAAACCATATTTTACTGCGCAGAATTCGCAATTTAACAAGTGTTTATCATATGTACAGTAAACATACTAAACTTTAATTGTATGTAACAATAACTTAATTATATCAAATAACTTTGAAATTGCAACATGTCATTTAACAAAACTAAGCCTCTCCTCGGAGTTTTATAAGAACGTGCTTTGTTACACTATCCTGTATACTTAATACATATTATATGAACTTACAAACTCTTTATGCGATTAATTCACATACCTATCAATGCTCTCAGTATAATCATCATTGATTTTCCGCATACTAAATTTCTAACTGCTCAACTGCTAAGTGATCCGTTACTTCTTCCAAGGAGCTGTCTTTTATATTAAATATAAGATTTATCGGCCACGGGATAATTTACGTAAAAATTGGATATAATTTATGGGCCTTTCAACGTGACAATACCGTTACCCAACATAATATTTTTTGTTATATTTAATATGTTATTGATCGTTATTATAGTGTTAGTCTATAAGCTTTTATGAATATAAAACAAATACTAAGCATGAAAATCTGGGGTTTCGAAAATTCGGGGTAAAATTAAAAAACATGTAAGTAAAAAATAGACTTCTATCTTATCTATATCAGTCGAAACGAATGCGGACAAGAACGTACCGGATGTTATTTTATTTAAAAAACTGTTTTCAGTTCGACGGATATGATTATTAATGACAATACATCATCCCTTTTTTAGTTTTAACGCTTATCTATATTGACGATAAAATGTTTAAAATATTGCTAGTTAAAAAAAAAAAGAAAACAAAGACACTTAAAACATTTTATTCGTTGAAAGCCGTATCATAAGTGTCATTGGCTGGCGTGTTCGTTTCATCATCGTCGGAATTAGAGTTTTCGTCGCTGCTTCCCAGGCTCCCTTGCTGCAACATTATAAAAGTAAAATTATTCATTAGTAACTAACTAGTTAATTAGTATTAATAACATTCAGTCTACATAAAAATGTTTTAGAACACGATGAGAACTGGTTCTTCCCAACACCAAAGTTTTGGGTAGTTTTTATATTTTAGTAGATAGTATTAATTAGTAGATTTCGTTAAAATTTACTCTGAAATACACGTTTATCAACTACGACTATATATAGGATGGCGAACTGGCTCGTGAACATATTCAATAACTGAAATTAGTTAAAATTGAAATCAAAGAGGCTAAAAATATCTCTTGATTAACTCACAAAGCCACCGATGGGTTTCGCATGAGATCCAGATACACTATGGGCGCCTACACTAAATAACTCACGCCATCGCGTCTACTTCTTAGTAAAATAAAACTAAATCGTCTAAAGTAAAAAAATTACAAAAACTATGAAAGCATTGCTGTTTAAAGTACAAAAAGCTCATTTCACTCACCTCCAGCTTGAGGTCCGCACTGTGAGTGGCGAGCAGCGTCTGCTTGACATAGCGGAAGATGTGATCGCGGCAGACCTGGTCGGTGTTCGGTGGCAACCAACCGCGCTTCTCGTGGCACAGGTACCCCGCCGGCGGTTCCGCCGCCAGTATTTCCTCCACTTCGGGAAGATGCACGTCGCAATACTAAAGGGCAGATGCAAGCATATGGTTGAAAGTTATACTTTGTTGTATGCTTGGTTATCAGTCATTGCCGTATGGTTTACTAATAATAATTTTAAAACAATTCTGTTTAAACAGACCCTTGTTGGGTTGGGGTGAACCGAAACAAAAGTGTGGAACTACACGATCATGAGTTACTGTGGTAGGGCCACGCAACAGTCTTCGCTCACAACCACGACCTCACAGAAGACCGGCATAAAGTAGAAGTGCTATGTAGTACTTCTGCGTTTCGTCCGGTGAGTACCCACATCATTAAAAGATGACAACGTCCATTGGTGGCGGTTATCACTTAACATCAAGTGAACCGCCAGCTCGTTTGACATCACACATGAAAAAAATGATCAAGGAAAACGGGAGTATACCTTAGTGATTAAAAAAATATATCATAATCATACTTTTACTCGTTCCATCCAGTCGTCAATGGTCCGAGACTTCCCCATCTCTTAATTCACCCACATTTGTTTTTTTTTTATGTGAGAAGGTAACAGACGAGCTGGTGGTTCACCTGATTTTAAGTGTTAAACTACCGCTCATAGACATTTGCAACACCCGCAGAGTTGCAGATGCGTTGCCACCTCTCAATAAAGTGGGCCCCAGCTACCTCAACCACCAAACGAAACGCAGAAGTATGACACTTCCCCTTCACGCCGGTCTACTGTGAGGTCGTGGCACTCACCCGGACGGACCCATTTCATGAACAGTACCCAGAGGACCGAGCTTTGCTCGGTTTGTTTTTTTATTTGGTAAATCGTTATTTTGGAAATTACATATAGAAACAAATTACTGAGTAATGAAATATGCATAATATTTTTCGATCTTACCGACTTAATAATAAGAAAATATGAACTGATGTTTTTCACAAAAGAAACAACTTTAAAAAGCTCTAAAAAAAATAACAAAATAACAAATCGACAAAAAATTAAAAATAAAGAAAGCAATGATCTGGAATCGAAAAAAAGTAAAAAAATAAATGTGTAAATGATCGTGACACGAACCACGGCCTTCTGTTTCGTGGCCGCCCGATTACCAACCGAGCTATTATAACATTTTCTTTTGCGGCGAAATTTACCGTCGTATTCGAATCATATGTTTCATTCCCTGAAAACAGGGAGAAAAAGACATTTTCTAAAAATTAAACCTAGCTAGATCGAATCTCTACGCACGTACTAAATTTCATGAAAATCGCTGGAGCCGTTTCCGAGATTCCGATTATATATATACAAGAATTGCTCGTTTAAAGGATAGGATAAAGTGAATGGTCCCGCCACTCCTTGCCGAATACCTGGTAGAATATCTGGCGTTGGGAGGGCGCCATGCCGGGCCGGAACCGCACCGCGCCCTCGCAGATGTCGTCGGGCGGCTGCGAGTCCTCGCGGTCCAAACGCATCTGGCGCACGCGCACCGTCTTCTTGTAATGTACCACCTTGTCGCGGGTCATCACCATCGAGTGCACGCCCGCTGTGCGATAACCGTCATCAGTTCTGTACCTCTGAATTAAACCGCATTAAGTGACGAAACACTAATTTTACAGGAGAGGCAAATATGCGCGGAGTAAATCATTGAAGCGTTATTCATAATGATGTCATACACTATATTTTATTTGAGATATTTTATTAATTAAGCGTCGTAGGACTTAATGTTTGTACTATTGTGTAAATAAAACTGTGTCCCAATTTCCAAAAGGTTGTCAACACATCTGGAACCCTCGAGTGTAGCAGATGTCCATGTGCGGTATTCACTTAACATCTGGTGAACCGTCTGCTCGTGTGGCAACTTTTCACATAAAAAAACACTATTGTGTAGAATTTGTTCTTGCGATTTTAATAGTGTAAGAAAAATAATTTTGAAAAATGTGGAGTTACTATTGTATGCCTCTGAGATACAGAATTTTACGGCTAATCGAAACTATGTCACGGATTTTATCGCGTCCTATTTTGATTTTAAATTGACGATTTTTAGAACCCTTGGTTCGTGTCACAGTCACGGGACACACTGCGCTGTTTCACACCCTAATGTCAGAGTTAGACCTGGCTGCCGTCAATTATTGTTCTCCGTGTTTGATCAACGTCGGGAATTTATAATCAAGATAAGATCACATAAAATCCGTAAAAAAAGTTTCAGTTAGCCCATGTATTTACCACACAAATCTCGTAAATATTATAATTATATATATAATTAATATGCTTCTTTCATGTCAACATTAAGGATTCGCCATTTGAATTATAGAATAACGTAAGTAACGTTTTAAACTGTACTTGTAACTGGATTTTATTTTACTCTCCATGATAATCATACAGAATTTTCACATCAAAATTACCTCATTACTAAATTCAATTTTTCAATTTCAAAATTCTGTCAGCTTTTAGCCTTAAATGACGGTCTCATTAACGGACATTTCTTCATTTCAACAATATGGTACAAACTTATATTGAATGGAATTAGCCTTATTATTTCCAGCAACCAAATTTTATTCTGCACCATTCCTACTTTGAGAAGTTAAAGCTGATAATATGCTGTATTAGCCAGCCAATTGAGCATCCTTCTCCACACAAAATATAAGTATATTAATTTAAAAAAATTCAATTTAAATGGGTGTAAACAGCTCAAAACATTTACAAGCCTTAAACATTTGTAACTCATGGTCAGTGGACTTTTACACACATCTTCTGTGTTGAAGTCAATTTTTTTTAAAGCAACTAAGAAATTTTTGCAGGTATAAAAATTTACTCTAGATTCCCAAACTTAAATCTGTATAGAATAGATAAGAAATTTCTTAGTCAAATATGATGAAGATGTATCCAACTTTTAAAAGTAAAGCATTTTATGTTTATCATAATTAATAGAATCAGATTGTTTGTCGACCAAGCCAATGAACTAGCACATTGGCGCCCATCTATACTGAATAAATAAATTATGTTCCAAGAGAAGGCATCCCCTACCTCTTCATGTCCGACCAATTACGGTCATGACATGTTAAGGCGCTGTATGCAATAAAAATAGGTTTTTCAAAATTTTTTTTAACAAAATCTATACATTATATAGGAGCAAAAAAAATATATGTAAGATCAAGATTAGATCTTACATTCTAATGGACCATTGTTTTCAAAACATATTCTCGATATATTTTCTCGATAGAAAAAAATCACGAACCTACCTCTAAACGTGAAATTCAAATAAAAAAATAGATATAATAAATTAACAAATCTTAATGAAATTTATATCAGCGGTGTAGAATATATAAATAAAAATGACTGTTGTCTTAATTTGTTGATTGAAGTAGCATATTTGTAAATATTAATTTAATTCATTAATATTAATTCGAACTCGATGGCCAAAACACCGCGCCACCGCGGCGTTGTTTCGGTTGTCTTCCAACTCCACACGGTGAACAGAGAGCGGTGAGGCGCCTTGCTAGATGGACCTATGCCGCTCATCGCCCGCTCACCGTTACGAAATATGTATCGTATTTGTTTATTATTGAGAGTTTTAATTTTATTAGATTCTTGATTGGTCTATCGGTCCTATACATACAGTGTATAGGACCATCATTCTTTATGGATTGGGTTCTAATCCCAAAATTTTTTGTTGTACTCATTGTTGATTTTCTTATTTGGAAGTATTTCTTAATTACCATTTAATATTGTTAATTTGTTTTCTCGTCGGGTTGGGTTTATAGATAAAAAATAAACATATAAATATATATTGCATATATAAAATAAATATTATGAATAAAAATAAACATATAGATATAAATACTATATATAATTCAGAAATAAATAGGATTTAATTATTGTTTGTTTTTATTATTTTCATAAATAATTACAACGAAATATTATTGTATTTGTTTAAAGTTGAAACAGTTGGAGAACAATCTACCAGTAAATAAACCAACTCTTAGTATTAAATTTTTTTAACGTCATCAATTTTTTTAACGTCATCAATTTTTTAACGTCATCTATTTAATTGTTCACCCTAAAACGAAAATTTATCTTATACACGAAAAATAATTGTTTTATAATTTTTGTTATTAATTTGTTTATTTCCCAAATTGAGCCATTTTATAAAATAAAAACAAAATAATTTGTTGGCTAACAAATTAAAAGTGAAAATAATATAAAAATACAAGTTCACTCGATGAGTGGTTTGAACTTGGGACTACAGCAATAGTATACCATTGTGTATGACGCTCGGACCAAAAGGCTACGCGAGGACTGTGCAAAGTGACAAAATTTCGATTCTAGTTATAATTGCTGTCGTTTATCGATACAAATAAGGATTTTATCGATAGTTTTTTAAATTTCATTTTAGTTGAAAAAGTAATATAACATAGTAAGTTTTGAACATTTAAAGCATAAATTATAATTCCTAATATATAAAAAAAATGTAATATAAAAAGCAGCTTCTGCTGCATGAATGGACCAGCTTGACCCAAGAAGTGCCATGGCCTCACAGAAGATGTACAGTACAACATAAAGAAAAAGTATTTTCATGACCAAAATATACTATTTTGTTTGGTAAATAAGCACAAAAAGGCAACATTTTCAGAGGTTTGTCCATTGGGGGTTGTCATCACTAGCCATCAGTAGAACTTTTTGATCACTGACCATTCTTTTAAATAAAAAAATTAAAGATTGCTTTATAGGGCCACAATACCTAATCCAAATTATACCAAGTATTAGACAAATGTTATTTTCAACTTGCCTGTATGTCTTAATCGGAAATCCAAAGTTTGATAAATTCTTGCGCCAGGCTCCTTTCTAGGATCATAGCCATATCTAACCCATAACATTCTCCAGGGCCCATCTTTCATATAAATTGCCACGCAAGGCATTATAACTTTGAGGGAAGACAGTCTCATTTTAGTGTGAAATTTAATAAGATTCAGTGACCAGATTGGTCTTTCCTCAAATAACTGCAAAATCAATACATGTATATGATCAATAAATATAAACCAAAAAAGATTATAAAAGTGTAATGTAAAACTGTGAATAAAAGTGATTTTCAAGGAGTGTATGACAAAAAAATTACAATTAAAACTAACCTTTTTGATTGAGGCAAATTCCTGTTCCAATGGTGGGTACATAATTTTCTTAGATTCCAATTGTTTTATGTAGTAAGTATGTGGTTCCGCAGCTAATTCATCAACTAGATTAAATGTATACCGTGTTATTGGTGTTCCACGCTCTATTCTCACTCTATGATGGACATCGTCCCGACTAACATCCTTTTCCTTTCCTGGGAATCTCTTATCAGTGTAATTATAGTTGATTGGCTTATCAAATCTTGTGAAGTTTGAAGGAACAATAAATAGCGGAGCAGACTGCCTAAAATAACCAAACATTAACAATTCAAGGAATAAAGAGTAAATTACACGCCAATTGTAATGCCTGAAAGTAGTACAGACACTTGTTGGTAAAAATTCAGAACATTTTTACAAAATTTTAAATTATGCAACTTGAAATATAAATATTTTAAATATTAAAAATAAAACACTTACAACAAAAAGTCAAATGAATCAACACCCGAAGGCAATATATTCTCCAAAATACAATGTGGTTGACCAGTGCCCTCAATTCTCACTGGTAGGTACTGAAAATCACACATTGCTGAAATCATAATATTTATAAATTAATATAACATTAACTGCGGTAGGCGACTGTGATAGGACCATGCAACAGGTTCTGCTGTTGCACAAATGGGCCTTTATTTCCTGTTTTACCTATTGCGGCAGAATAAAATTATATCTTTACGTACCACTAGTGGCAATATATTGATTTTTATTAAATGGCCAATTTTTATTCCATGCAAACTGTGTCTAGTTTCTAAAATATATAAAATATATCTTATAACTAACAGAAAGTGAATAGAATTTAAATATTTTCAAAAATATACCTTCAAACTTGTACATTATTTTGATGGAGCCAACCACAGAAGTTGAAATGATTTGTCGTGTCTCCTTGCCATCTCTCTCAGATTTTTTAACTTTAACCTTGAGTAATATACCAGAAGCGCTTTTGCAATCAGCAAAGGTTTTTTTTACAAATGGATTGTCAGGTTGATAGCTTAAGCCTAAACGTTTTTTTGTAGGCTGAGAATAAACCTGTAAAAGTAGACGTAAGAGCAGTATTATGGTTAAAATCGAGATTTCGCTTTTAAAATTATAATTGCAAAATAATGTACGTCAAAGTAGCAAAAGAGGCAATAAATGGAATTTGAATTCAGATATAATCGAATACTAAACTAAATATTATCACAAACCTGTGATATTCCTCTTGGACCTCCCAAACATTGAATAGCTTTCTCGTCATTTTTGACTATACCGGGAAATAAAATACTCACTAGTGTCCGATTTAAATTAGAAGAATCCATTAGATTATTTATAGTTCATATTCAATAATCATACTTTAATTATAGGAAAATATTAAAATAAGCTTAGCCTATGACTAATCGATATTTTTATATTTCCATTCCATACAATTATCGATATATATCGTCTATATTTTTATCGCCATATATCGATATTCGATATTCATTTTAGACTATCCTATATTCTACTACTACGACTATATTCGTGCAAATTTCGATAAATTTTTAACGCAACTTTGGTTTCGTGTTCCATGTTACTAGATACTATTTACTTGCTCCTCGCGCGTCGTTAACTTTAAACAAATCTTTTCAATAATTTTCTTGATGTTAATTCTTTTTTACGAATTTTGAATGGTTGTTCACACGATAGTTATCACTACTTTTACAATATGTCGATATATTTGTTTAACATGCCCATCCCTAGTAAAGCTCTAACCTGCCACAAAATAGGGATGCCGAAAAATTAATAAATCGATATTTTTAGCCGATATATTTTGATCCGATATATCGATGCAAAAAATTGAATATCGAAATCGTATCAAAGACGATATTTTTATTGAAATTTAATTCAGGTGAATATTAACAGATTCAAAGCCGTAAAAAATAAAAATAAACGGTAAAAAATAACTGTTCTTTAGGAATAGTATTGTCGTAGATGCAGTGTTGAACAGTTTCAGTATATATGTCTTATCTATGGTGTTGAATTTTGTTGTACTATACACTGCTATATTATGTACCATGTTGCATAATCGCATAGATTAATTATTATTATTATTATTATTATAAATAGCATGCGAAACATTAATGGTATCAAGTAAAGTTACTTTACTTTAATATTGAAATAAAGTTATCTAAATTTAATTATAATCAAATTTAAAAATATTATAGTGCTAATCTCTGCACTTAATCAAAGTCAAAGTCGAATCATCATCATCATCATCATATCAGCCGTAGGACGTCCACTGCTGAACATAGGCCTCCCCCATTGACTTCCACTTCGACCGGTCGTTAGCGGCCTGCATCCAACGCGTCCGTGCGATCTTGGCTAGGTCGTCCGTCCACGTGGTCTCCACTCGAGAACCTTTTTGCTCCAACGGCCATCGGTTCTTCGAGCTATGTGCCCTGCCCAAGTCGAATATCTTTATTCAATATAGAAGCATACACTTACTTATTGATAGTCAAAAAACTATCACCGGTTCGGAAGGAAAGCCACTGACCTGAGAAGAAACGGCGTAAGAAACTCAGCGGGAATTTTTTTTTATATTTTTTTAACGACAAAAAAATTACAAACATATATACAATTTATTAAATTCCAATTGAAAGAGCCTGGAGCGATCAATTCATTTCAAGAGTGTGTTATCATTCAAATAATCACTAATACTATAATAGCCATTAACACACAAACGTTCCTTTACAAATTTTTTGAATTTAGCAACGGATTCATTTTGAACGTTTTCTGGGATTTTATTGTAAAAACGTATACATTGTCCCATAAAAGATTTACTTATTCTATGCAATGTACTTGAAGGTAGAACTAATTTATGCTTGTTTCTAAGTATTTACATCATGCACATTACTAAATCTTGAAAAGAATTATAGAATTCGCCGTCGGAGGACTCAAAAAAAACAATTTGCCTTAACTTATGTATTAGAGCTTACAATTTAAACTATAGCTAGCCTAACCTAAGTCTGATTCCGATCGATGCTAGATCAAGAATAACCGTCTTACTAAAATAAATCGTTAACAAAAGTTCTTGAATATGGTAAGCAGCGGTGTCGACCAGTGTCGACTGGCAACGTTTCCATGGACGTCAGCTATATTGCCCGTCCTGTAGGTAATCCGTTTACATTAGGGATGGGTCGTATCGCTTTTTCTGAGTACCGTATCTGAATCCGATATCGATTTCAAATATCAGATTTCGAAACTATGTATTTTAATATCTAGATATTTTACGGTTCCCTATCCACGTTGATTAATAGAATTCTAAAAAAAAAAAAAAAAAAAAAAAAAAAAAAAAAAAAAAAAAAAAAAAAAAAAAACAATATTAAAAATATAAATGATTTATGATGAAAATGATTTATTTTAACATCTTATATACCGCTTAATAATTGACTTTAACATATTTTTAGAACACGCAATCGAGTGGCAATATTTTTATTATTTGTGTAAGAAATAATACATTCAGTATTATAGCTTAGGGCGGAAGAATTTAAAATATACACACAAGGCACATAAGCCTTGGTCTGATTTCCACCAAAGCAGCACAGCACTATTAAATTATATTTTTCTTTTTGTGTACTTTTATTTTTTTCCAAAAATATGAATAAATTCAGCTAATAAAAATATTCACACAAAAATTTACCTCCTAAAAAATTTCCATTTATATTTTTCTTCCTTAATTTAGGCAGAAAAAAATCTTAAGTAGTAAGTTGGCATCCCTTACTATTACGTGTTAAGTACCAATGCAATCCAGCTCAAGGCTGAACAAAATTTCAAAGACATCGTTAATACCGTAATTCGTATTTAAATGCAACAGAGTTTTTTTCCATGCTGTTAAGATTCAAAATTACTTAACTGCGCGCTTTGTCGCCCGTTACGGCTCAAGGCTAAACAAAACAATAAAAATATAATAATATCGTTGTAGTAATCGCTGATACCAAGATTAGTATTTAAATGAAACGGATCTTATTTGCATGTTGTTAAGATTCAAAATTACTTAACTTATTCATAATATCTGTTCAAAAATCTGATATCGTGCATTGCTTGCCGTCCCACTCTAACTAGTAAGTATTTATATCTCACGCGCTTTGTCGCTCAATATCTGATATCGTGCATTGCTTGCTGTCCCACTCTAACTAGTAAGTGTTTATATCTCACGCGCTTTGTCGCTCAATATCTGATATCGTGCATTGTTTGCCGTCCCACTCTAACTAGTAAGTGTTTATATCTCACGCGCTTTGTCGCTCGATATCTGATATCGTGCATTGCTTGCCGTCCCACTCTAACTAGTAAGTATTTATATCTCACGCGCTTTGTCGCTCAATATCTGATATCGTGCATTGCTTGCCGTCCCACTCTAACTAGTAAGTATTTATATCTCACGCGCTTTGTCGCTCAATATCTGATATCGTGCATTGCTTGCTGTCCCACTCTAACTAGTAAGTGTTTATATCTCACGCGCTTTGTCGCTCGATATCTGATATCGTGCATTGCTTGCCGTCCCACTCTAACTAGTAAGTATTTATATCTCACGCGCTTTGTCGCTCAATATCTGATATCGTGCATTGCTTGCTGTCCCACTCTAACTAGTAAGTGTTTATATCTCACGCGCTTTGTCGCTCAATATCTGATATCGTGCATTGCTTGCCGTCCCACTCTAACTAGTAAGTGTTTATATCTCACGCGCTTTGTCGCTCAATATCTGATATCGTGCATTGCTTGCTGTCCCACTCTAACTAGTAAGTGTTTATATCTCACGCGCTTTGTCGCTCAATATCTGATATCGTGCATTGTTTGCCGTCCCACTCTAACTAGTAAGTGTTTATATCTCACGCGCTTTGTCGCTCGATATCTGATATCGTGCATTGCTTGCCGTCCCACTCTAACTAGTAAGTATTTATATCTCACGCGCTTTGTCGCTCAATATCTGATATCGTGCATTGCTTGCTGTCCCACTCTAACTAGTAAGTATTTATATCTCACGCGCTTTGTCGCTCGATATCTGATATCGTGCATTGCTTGCCGTCCCACTCTAACTAGTAAGTATTTATATCTCACGCGCTTTGTCGCTCGATATCTGATATCGTGCATTGCTTGCCGTCCCGCTCTAACTAGTGAGTATTTGTATCTCACGCGCTTTGTCTCTCGAAATCTGTTTAAAAATCAGATATTGTGGCAAACGCGTATGATATCGCCGTATCGCGATTCGTGTCGGTATAGCGAGCGAGCACGGTACATCAGATTTCGGAAATATCAGATATTGTAAAATACATAGATATTGAACGAGCCAGTAAGCGATATTGGGATATTGTACTAATATCTAGTTTTCATATCTGATACGATTTGTATCGCCCACTTCTAGTTTACATGATTTCAGCAAAACTTGACTCGTGGGATTGTGTCGCGATGTTGCGAAGAAGACGCTGCTTAATTGCACTTTTCTATGGGAATGGATATGTAACAAAAGTCATTCTTATTTTTGTGGACATTCATAACATTTGCAAGTATGTACTGAGAAGCTACGTTAATTAATTATTTGCATACAATTAAAAACTATTTTTTAATGATGCCAAAGAAGTATAACTTCTGACGTGTTAGTCAAGGACGGTCAGTGCCAGAGTTTTTTGGTGTTTGTGCGCGAGGGGTGCACTAACACCAAAAAATAGAAAGCGATTCTTTTTAGTCTAGTTGCAAGGCAACTTGCAAGCCAAGTTGGCTTGCTACTATCCAATGATTTACACTACTGTACTTGTCCACTTCACTAAACACTTGACAAGTTTAAATTGGTCTTTAGGGTGCTCTACACGTAGCTGTCCAGTTAATTAAACTAAACTAAGCTGCAAACGAAAAAAATTATTACATTGTACACATGTATTTTTGGTAGGTGGAAGAGGTGAGTTCGTGTGTGTCGGGTGAATATGTAAAGTCAATACACTGTTCACAACATTTATTGTCTACACACATATACGACCACAGAAGAAAGTCAGAAGGAGTAAAAGATAGCACAAAACAATAACAAAAGAGGATAGCGAAAATAAGCAACTACAGCGGAACTATGACAACACGTAATATCTGATAAAGCGTAAGCGCAGCGGGAAGCAACAAGCGACTGGCGATAGGAGTTAATGTACCGCGCCTCACGAGTGTCTTATGACGTAGCACGGGCTCGGACGGAATCGCTGTTGCCGGGCGCCCGATCGGTGAATCGTATATAAAAACGTTAGGTGAGCCGCGTCGCGTCGCGGCACAGCTGAACGTTGATAGCGATCGTAAACATTGGTAA